GTGAAAACCACCTCTCCCCTCCTCTGTCCAACCAAAAAATGTACGCAGATGGTCATAAATTTACAGGACAATAAATCCCAGACAAGCAGGAAAGCCCAGACCTTCAACTTGTCAGCGACCTCCTCCGGCTTATCCAAAGAAACATCGAAGCACTCCCAGGCCATCCAGTATATATATTCTCTGGGTCTAGTCAGGGGTCTCCTCCAGAGCCTCGTCTCACTAGGACATGACTAATTGGAATACTTTATCCAGGAGGCGCCCACCTCAGCTGACTCATTTTGATGTAGAGGAGCAGCGGCACTACTCTGAGCCTCTCTTGACTAACTGAACTCACCCTGTCATGAAGGGAAAGCCCATCCACCTTTCACAGAAATCTCATTTCCACTGCTTGTATCCATGAAGATGGATAGTGCCAAAAAAAACAACTGATGAAGAACAGTCACAGGTAACAGAGCTGGTTTTATTTAAAGTTTTCTTTGGGATGCGGGGAGACATTGACATGCAGAGTTGAAAACAGTCTTAATTTTTCAGTGGAATAAATTTCTTGTAGTGCTACCTTTAACAGCAATAGTTTTACGACAGGTTTTGCAAATTTGCAAATTGTTCGACATCCTCCTTGTAAAATCCAAACGACAGCTAGTCTAATTCCTACAACAATGCTCCATCTCGTGGTAGATGGTTGCATAACATTTAGGACACAACAAGGTATCAAAGGGTATTCACTAATTACCAAAAAATAAGTATCTAGTTTCATTCCAACTTAGGGAAACAAAAAAATACATCAAAACTAGAAACCAGAATAAAAGAAATGAATTAACCTCACTAAAAAGAGTCAGTTGCTATAAGCATACGCATGGCTGGATGTCTCAGCTTCACATTACTTTCTCTGATGTTGTGGAATTCAGCCCATCTTTTTGTCACAAAAAATTGGCAGACTCGTTTGCTGTTTAGTTCAAGCCAAAATGATTAAAAGAGAGCTTGTGTCAATAGGATCTAAACAGAAGAAGCTTTGACTCTCTACAGGTCTTTCAAGCCAGGGGTGGCTCAGGTGGTGGAGCAGATCAGCTACTGATTGGAAGGTTGGTGGTTCGATCCTTGGCTTCCCCAGTCTCCATGGGCCCAAATATCCTTGGGCACAACCCCAAGTTCCCCAAGCGTTCATCGGAGTGTGAATGTTGGTTAGTTTGCACTTGTGTTTAGAAGTGCTTGTATGAGTGGGTGTGAATGGGGTGAATGAGGCATGTTGTATACAGCGCTTTGAGTACTCCGGAAGAGTAGAAAAGCGCTATATAAGAATCAGTCCATGTGGGTCTCCTGGAAACCTGTCCTCACACGGTCTACAAGACTGCTTTTCAATTTGTAAGAGTGCTGCTATTTTTGCACATCACACTTCAGAGCATTAACATAAGCATTTAGTACTGAAGCAGATGTTGGAAGGATGTAATTAAAGGTGCAGTGCTCATAAAACATGTCTGGCTTCATGGTGCTGCTTGTCCATCCAACAACCTTCTCCACTGCACACAGCCTGTGTTTAGACCTAATTAAAGGCTGTGTATCAGTGCATTAGAGCAGTTACATAGCTACATAGTTATGATAACATGGTTGTAAAAAGCTCAACTTGGCCATGTTGCCACTGTAGCCAATACAGTAGCCAAAATTGACATTGCCATTCCAATGAATCACATTTTAATGTATGTGACTAGAGGCCAGTTATAGCATGCTTTATAATTTATTTTAATTTAAAGATCACAAACAGAATTGGACCGTTGGAAAACCTTAAACATCACCGACTCTTAAACATCAACATCAACACAGAATTTTACAAACTGAAAAAGGAAAAATAAAAACTTGAGCAGACTCTTCTGAAAATAAGACCTATGCAGTAAGTCCTTCAATTTGATGCCCCTTTACATGTATTTTAGCCCAGTCCATTGTAAATGGCTAACAATCATTTACACTCACTTTCATGCCTATGATCAATTTATAATGACCAATCACAGTAACATGGATGCTATTGTACTGTAGGAGGAAGCTGGATTAGTTGAAGAGAGCCCACAAAGACACAGGAAGAATATGCAAACTCCAAACAAAAAGA